AGGGAAGTACCTAAAGCACGGTGATTACGCCCGTCCCGTTATACTGCGAGCTTAAGAGTGTACTGCATGTGTTGCTTTGTAAATATAATTTTAAAAATCTTTGCAATAAATCCACGTGATCGTCGCGCATTAAAATATATTTTTCGAAAAAAATGTCATCACGATTGATAGAGCGACACTGCTGTGCAAAATTGGCTGACAAGTCTGTCTGATGATCTGTCTGTTTAAGTGTGTACGGAAACTTGTTCAGGCCTCGAGGCCCTGCGGGAATCAGACATGGCTGTTGTCAGACTCAGAGGGAACCACAATCACATCACATCAACTTGTGAGCTGAACATTCACATCATTATATGGCACAATAATGGAAGACAACAATTAACGAGTAGCTACAGTTCCAGCTGCTCTTGATGTACTTCGGTTTACAAAAAACAAATTTATTAATCATGTCTCTGTTGTTTTATTACATTTCATGGAGTCCTTTAGCGGAGACGGAGTAACACTCGCATCGCCAACGAGAGGACGCTGATTCGATTCCATGGCGGATGAAACCTTAGGCAATGTTCCCCACTACACACACATACCTTGTTTACCGAGCAGTGAATAAGAATTCGTTTGTAAATCGATTGGTGGTTCACTTTTCCAGGGGATAATAATCCCATCAAAATAATATTGGTCACTGAATCTATGACGGTTTATGTGGATGCCAATCATCCCACGGATCGAATCTAAACAATTATTGATATACTGAGAGAGCGAAATGTGTGTCCTGGTTGGTAGTGATGGTGGCGGTCTTTGAGGTTGAGTGGCAGAAACCGTGGAAGCATTTAAACGTGGAAAAGGATACACACCATCAAATAAAAACTCTCCGTCCACTTGGCTCCTTCTCAAGACCTTCCTTTAAAACCGTATCTTCAATCATCATGCATCTTCCATTCACTGTGCACTCCACCCCGATCTTCTCCCAAACTGCAGCTCCAGTGCAGAACACTTACCTGTCCTGAGACTTTGGACGTTCTCCCGACACGAAAGGCGCAGCGTCATGCAACTTGTTGTTGTAATTGTTGTCTTAGCGACGCTTGATGAAATGCAAGGATTATTATGATTCCTCCTCACCAAATTTTATCCAAAAGAGTTATGTAATGATGTCGGGGTTTCACTGAAATCACTGAACATAAAAGTGAGTTTAGTCCACTGTCCATAATTGTTAGCCTGACAGCAAGGTCACAGTTTGAGCTTGTCAAGGAAACGCTGCTGTGGGGTCACAGATGTGATGCTGAAACCCGTCACCGTCGACAAACACTTTCCATCATCAAACTCTGGTGGCAAAAGCTTCTTTGTGAATGGCGACAATGCGACTGTTCATGGATTACCTTATCCTGTTGAGCTTTATGTCAGGTGAGGCTGTGTGTCACACAATACAGATTTATGTTTATGTAGAGACAGTCTCATCTGGAGGACGGTTCAAGAGGTCTAACATTCTTGGCTTTGTCTCCAGACGCGGGTTTAAGGGTCAAATTATTCGTAACGGAAATATAATACGAATAATAATCATTGCATTTGGTATAGCACTTTTTGAATCTTCGAGACGTCACGAACCACTGCATAGAATATACTGGATAGTGCAGTGACTGTGTGTTTAGTGGGCGAAACGGAGAATCCAAATTCACACAGCAGTATCTCCACAAACAGTAGTGGATTGAATGATCACACTTTAAGTTAGTCATTATTATCCCGGAAAGGTCATCCTCCAATCGACCAGCAGCTGGGTTCCTAACTACTCCTCGGAAAACAGGTGCGTATGTATAGATAGGAAACTTCCCAAAGTTTATCCCGGTCCTGCCAGGGAAGGGACCCTTGTCCTATCGATTTCGAGGCGAGTGTACTGTCTCCTGAGCTGCAGGAGTAATGTAGCGCCATGTTTCAAGTTGATCCTTTCCTCTCGTTGCAGATGTGGTGCTGGGAGATCCAGTCAGACAGCAGACAGCGGGGCTGAGCAAACAAGAGGGAGACACAGTGATTCTGAGCTGCTCATATATCAACAGTTCGAACTATGTTGCTCTGTATTGGTACAGGCATCACCCCGGCCTCGCTCCCCAATACATTCTCTACAGGCATAGTAATGGGATTGACAACACTGCAGATTACGCCAAAGGCCGCTTCGCTTCACATCTTGGCAAGAATCAGTTGCAATCCACATTAATCATTCCCAGTGTCATTGTCAATGACGCTGCCACGTAATATTGTGCCTTAACATCAGATGCACAGTGCTGCAATGCAATGACTTCCCCGTACACAAACCCAATTTACGTTGAGTCACAATGTTACGCCAAACAACTCTGCTTTCATTGTTATACGTGTAAACTAAAACTTCTTATAAAGAAGGTTTCATTCCATTGAAGGCCTATAGCTTATTTGTAAGACGTTTCGCCCCGCAAGCGACGAGACATTTGTTTGATTCGCCACCGGGCAAAATGTGGCACAGCGCCACACGCCTCTGTTTGATTTGCAGTTCGCAGGAACGCGGTTGGTTGTCGATCGGCGGATCGCTTTTCTAGGGGTAATGATCCCTATAAAAAATATTAACAGTAAATTGTTCACTCAATCCTGGACTGTGAGAGGGACCTCGATGAGCGCAATTAGCTGCCGCGATTCACGCACAAAACATGCAGTGACGAGATTTTGCAGTGTTTCCTGTGAAACGATTTGAAATTACTGGATGACGTGATAAGTCGCTGCATCAAATACAATGATTCTTTTTATTATTTCACTGTGTTATTAACAGACTACACCTCTATCAATAAATCACTAAAGAGGAGAGGGAGGGTTTGATCACAGCACAGATGTTAGTCTGACAGCTGACATATTTAACAAGCTCTGACTTTGCTTCTGTGTCTCTCATAGGAGACACCTGACTAATTGACCACCGGAAGCAAACAATGAAAGAGAACAAGAACAACATGGTTCCATTTGTAGAGCGCCTTTCACGTCGGGAGTACCCAGTGGGGTGGGTGCTAAGGAAGCTTGCCTAAGATTGTGCCATGTCCTGTCCGGGAATCGAACCCGTGTCCTCTCGCTTGCGAGGCGAGCGCTCTGACCACAGAGCTAAATGATTCCACGCTCTTGTCTTCCAGGCCTGATTCAGGGAAACTCTGTGACACAGAAGGTGGCTTCAGTGACTGGGGAAGAAGGAGGAAGTGTGACTATGGAATGTCATTATGATACGTGTCTGAGCGGCTACCATTTATATTGGTATCGAGAACAACGCTTCCCACGTGCATCGACCCAACCCCCCCCCCCCCCCACACACACCACACACACTCTCTCTGCCATCTCTCACTCTCTCTGCTCTGTTCCTCCTTGTTTGTTTCACCAACTCTGTCCCTCTCTCTGCCGCTCTCCATCATAATCGGTCTCTCAAACATTCGCTCACCTTCACCCTCCGAATTACTCTCTCCTACCCCCGTCTCTCTCCTTGCTTGTCAGCCCTGTTTCTCTCTCTGTGTGACACTCTCTCTCACTCAATTGCTCTCTCCTTCTCTCGTACTTCAAACGCCCTCTTAGTTCTGAATCGCACATTAACTTTTTTCTAACACAAGCATTCTTTTCCACTTGCTCTCAGTTGATCTCTCTCACTCCCCCTCTTACCCTCCCGCACTCTTTCTGTCCCCTCTCACACTCTCTCTGCATCACTTTATCTCTGCTTGCCCCCTTTTTCCCGATCCCCCTAAGATTCTCTCTCTATCAATCTCTCTTTCTCAAACACGCTCATTGTTGAGCCATCCAGTAAATTAAGCACTAATATTTCTGATTCCGATTTTCACTCACACCCCTCGTCCTTTGTCTCTCCATCTCTCTCACAACCTGCCCTGCTCTCTTTTACTCTCTCACCCTCTACCACACAGACTCTCACTCTCGCTATCTTTCTCTTAGTCGCTGATTCTCAATGTGTCCCTCACTCAGTATTTCTCTCTCTCTCTCACACACACACACACACACATTCTCTTTCTCGCAGGCAGTCCCGATGTCTCACTCTATCTCCTTCTCTCACTCAGTTTCCCATTCAGTCTCATTCAATCACTCTCTCACATTCATTCTCACTCAGTACCTCTCTCAATCTCTCGCTCAGTCTCTCACCCTCAGTCTCATTATATCTTACTCAGTCTCTCTCTCTAACTCATTCACACTCACTCACTCATTCTATCTCATTCTGTGACTCAATCTCCACTTATGTCAGCGAGACAAGTGCCGCGAGTGACCCATTGAAGTCAAACTGAAGCTGGTATTGAATATAGTTGCTGATGAGGAGCTGGAGCGAGGAGATGGCCACCGGCCTCCGGGCTACACTCTGACTGTGGCGTAGATTGGACCATCATTCTCACCGTTTTCATGGCCATTCTCAATCCTGTTTCCCAACATCAGATTAGCGTAGATGATGTCAGCATTCTGCAAACAGGGCAACACTCAATATATCTGCAGAAGGTCATTGGGAGTAAACCCTCCCCCACCCACCCCTCCCTGGAGACTCCGACTCATGTCTCCAGTGTGTGAGGTTGTTTGTTTCCCCTTCCCCACACCAGGAGTACTACACATGTTAAATTATCAGCAAGTGGAATCAAGTTTGTGATAAATCCCCCCGTAAATAAACCGGAGCCAACAATAATGACAATAATCTTGCGTTTAAGAAACTCCTCTGAGGTGAACGACGCTGTTTGAACGTAAAATTAAACACAGACACACACAGACATCGAGAGTCTCTTTCTGACTCACACATACGTATACACACACACAAACACACACACAGTCACTTCCAAAAAGGCAGAAACATGCGCTCACAGAAAAACACAATCACGTAGACAGATACACAAGCACATGGTTCTGAAACTTTTCACGTTGAGAGAACGGCTGAAAGTGTTTAACAACATGTATTATAATTGGTGGAAAGTTTATGACCATAACCAAAAGGATCAGCTAAAATCAGTGAAAAATTGTTAACGGCCAGTGCAAGGGGAGATTCTCTCTTGCTTTTCTCAATATTGCCAAATTCCCGACTTTGAGGATAAAACCATGAATTTATAGCTCAAGCGCGAGTGCTTCCGGCTGAGACAGCGTGACCGATAGCCTGAGCTGGGTTGTGCCAGGCTGACACGGCTGAGCTGGGTTGACACAGTGCTGAGCTGGGCTGAGCCAGGTCTGACCTGGTCTGACACACGGCCAAAGCTGGTCTGTTGACACAGGGCGTGAGCTGGGCTGTACAGAAACTGAGCTGACACAGGGCTTAGCTGGGCTTACACAGAGTTGAGGTGAGCTGAAACAGAGCCTGAAGGTAGGCTGACACCTGGTGCAGCTGAACCGATACAGGGCCTGAGCAAGGCTGACACAGTGTTAAGCTGCCCTGACACAGGCCAGTGATGCATTCACTACTCACCATTGGAGGCACCGACCGGGGAACCTTTCTCACCGTAGCATCTGAAACAAACGGAAACTCTATTTAGCACAATTCATTAACCGCACTATAGTTGAACAGTATTATTAAGGATATCAAAGGTTGCAGTAAATAATTATTAACGATAATGCTGATAGTAAATATTAGACCACAGTTAATATTTTGATTAACATGGCATTTGAAAAAAACTAACTTATCACGACATCGTGAAGTCCCAAAGAGCTTCACAGGATTGACGGTGTAATGGAGTTACTGCGTATACTGTCAATTAAACCTGGAAGACATTCATGCCAGCAGCCTCACAAGTACAAGTATGTGAACGATTTTTTCTCAGGATTGATGGCCAGATGGAGATCGTTGGCAGAGTGAGAGAGGTTCTCTTCTTGAACAGCGCCGAGGGATCTTTAATATCCTCCTAAACAGGCCCAAGTTTCCTCGGTTTATCTTAAAATCTGAAGGACGAAACTTGAAGTGGCTCAAAACAGTCAGCGACATAGAAAAAAACATGCAGACACACAAACACGCAACAGTAACACAACCTGGCACGCAGAGCGACCAAGAGAGTAGGAGAGTGGCAGACACACAGATTGGCACACACAATAGACACAGACTGACTAAGGGAGAAGGTGAGTGGAGACAAAGAGACACACAGAACAAACGATAACGGGAGAGTCAAAGAGAGAGAGAGAGAGAGAGAGAGAGAGAGGATATGTATGAGTATTATTAAGGACTTAAAATCTTGCAATTAATAATCTTTAATGATCATGCAAGCATTGGTGTCAGCAGCTCCAAAATCAGATGTACACTGGGCGTGAACAATTGTTTTCTGGAGGATTGTTGGACAGAGAGAGACTGTTGGCTATGAGAGACAAATTCTCTCTTTGAATTGGGCCGCGGGTTCTTCAAAGTCCACGAAAAAGGGCAGAAGGGACGTCGGTATATCGTCTCTTCTGAAAGAAAAAAAACTTGAAGTGGCTCAACTTGAGACAAGCGATTGACAGTCAGACACACAGACAATCATGCGGCAGACACACAGACAGAAACGCAGACAGACCAAGAGAGAAGGAGAGGGGCAGACATACAGATTGACACACTGTAAGACACCCAGAGAGATGAAGGAAGAAGGCGACTGCACAAGGGGAGAGACAGATCCAGAGAAAGAGAACAAGGAATCAATAGACTCTGGTTTGGGGGAAGCTCATGAGCAAGAGATTGGTTTTGTGTGGGGCTCGGGCCATCGGCTGACCAGACGAGGTTGTGATCAGCTCTTTTCACTCAGGACTCAAACCTAGGAAACTTCTCACTCACAGGTGACGTTGCTGGGTTCAGGGCCGCCTCCCGTGGGTACGTTCCTGCGAAAAAAACAGACAGATGAGAGCGAAATATTCTCTGCTGTTTTACTGAGGAGGATTGCGGTGCTCAGTCCAAGTCTTGTAACAGGGCTAACGACCAAACATTGACACTCAGCTGGAGTGAAGCGAGGGGGTGGGGAAGGTTTGTGTTGGGAGCCAGTTGTCTGAGGCTTGTGTGGAAACCCGTCACCATGGTGACGAGTATCCATACCATACGATGAATTCCAGTCATGCCTCCAATAGAAGGCAATTCCTTTTTATTTAATTAATATGCATTACATCTGCCAACCTAATCCCCATGTGGTTTAGGCACAATATGGCTAGAATCAGGGTTTAGCGACCTCACAGTATGAATTGGGATCCCACCAGCTAAAACCACACGGCTTGCTATAGGGAGCTCCGTCTTGCAATCTTCCTCTGCTTTTCGAGTTAGGAAATCTCTACCCGTTAGGGATTTATCCTGTAGTGTAGCAGGAGCTGAATAGGAGGATTCCTTACCCCCAATATATTTTCTGCCCTCCAAGTGTTGCAAATGAGTGTGGGAGTGTACACATGTACAGACAGTTTGGAGAGAGAGCAGGGAATGGGATTAAATTGGAGATTTCCAGTGGGGTGCAAGCAACACCACAGACAGGATGGCGTGAGAGGAGGAATGGGAAGAGTATAGAGAGCTCCAGTCGGGGTGGAAGCACCTGTGCAAGCAGGATGGGGAAATAGAATGAAATAGCGGTGAAATGTTCTCACCTTTCCCCACTTGAACTCTTCTGTTTACCTGTAATTGCAAAGGGTAACGCATGTCAAATATTGATTAGTACTGGTTGTGTATTTTTGTGGTTATATTAACAATAATCCTCCCTTTCATAGATTATTACCGTTTCATTACAAAGGGCAGTCCCTACCCAAACCCTTTCCCATCACTACCACCATCCATGGACATGCCTTCAGCCACTTCGCTACGCTATTTGTAAATACATCCCAGTTTCCATCTGATTTAGCTCTCGCTCCCACCCTCACACCACAAGACCCATCACTTCAACCGGGTCTAGTATTTTTATTACTATTCTGTGTAATAAACACTGGCCTCAAATTGCAGTGACTCTGCTTTTTTAATGAAATGCTGCAGCCCATTGCACACAAGTGGGTAACAAAAGCGGACATGAAGTGACTGATCCATTTTATTTTGGGGATTGTTGGCCAGGATTCTCCCTTCTCTTTTCGAATGCTGCTGCAGGAACTGTAATGTCCACATGATCAGGAAAACAGGACCACGTTACAACTTTCTCACTGTGGGTACAGGCTGAAGAACTTGGGAACAAAGTCTTGGAAACAAGAGTAGGGTACTGCACTGGATATTGACAGTAATTATCTCAATCCAAAAGTATCATTGTCGACAGCCTTTAAACATCGATATTATCAAGTACTCAAAGTTAAGGATAAAACTCATTGCCAATTTCGCTAACATAAACAACGACATGTCTTTCTAACTCAGATCCATGGTGCTGTCTAATCTGTCCCAACAATAAATGACTTGATAAAGACTGAATGACTGTTTGGTAGCTTTGTTGTCAGGTCCCCATCTGCACTCATTGACACGCAGAATATCAATACAAAGTCGTTGTATACTTTCCTGTCTCCTTCTTTTGACCCACAAATATACATTAAATTCACATGACAGCATATTCTGTGAAGCGCTTTGGGACTTCGAGAAGACGGGAAAAGCGATATATCAAATGCAAGGTTTATTAATATTATTATTTATTCCCAATAACTTTAAGCCATATTCACTGATATTATTGGCCACTTACCTTTCTTATATTCACTGATTCCCAGTAGTAACACAATTATCATTAACGAAGCGACAATCCCCGCAGCCAGTCCTGTAATGTGCTTCCAGGTCCAATTTGCTGGAGAGGGAAATGACCAGAGTAATTTGTCGACTTTGAAGAGCTAATATGCTGGGAAAACCCTTTATTTTAAAGGCATCGCTGAGATCTTATCTCCTGCTAATTTCAAAGCGCAAAAGAAGGAAATGTTTTCTCTTTTGCAATGAAAATTGCCGAATTTCCCCTCGTCTGTCTTCAAGAGAAAACTTCTCGACCCCTGATCCTGGGAAGGTTGAGCTAAATAGGGTCTCTTCTGGTGCTGCGCAAGTGAATAGCCAAGCTGCGGAAGATTGGAATCGAGGCCACACTTCATGGTGTTCCCCATTCTTCTCCATGAGCCAGGCATGTCCCAGTATTCCAGGGAACTGCTGATAACAAAACAGTCCGGCCTGTCTCATCGTCATCAGGTTGAGGAGCAGATCGGACACTGGGAGCCGGATTATTTCTACGTTGGCTTTAAAAGTACAAGTCAGCGTGAGCATCTTGTTGGTATGTTGTGGGGCAAGAAGGGATAGTCTACACGATTATGGTCAATGTGTGAGGTAGTGGTGTAAGTAACAGCTGTAATGCAAGAGCAAGATCTGGGTCCGCCCAACCTTGTCGCACTCCAAAACACACCGCGGAATGACGGAGATCAGTTCAGCAGCGATGCTTTCCGCTGTTTGCAGGAGAGAGGGTTTACACCCCAGATACGCTGTATAGGGATGGGTCGGGAATTTGGGTTTGGAAACTGTTTTATCGCGTGGATGGTTGCAGCCTGGATCAAGCAATCCAACTGAGAGCGGGAGATAACGTGGAAATATGATCGATGATATAAAGAGTTACTGGAACAGAAGGTACTGTAAAAGATCAGAAGACAAGTAGATTTTTGTGTGAGATTATACCCAAACCTTACCGCGCACAGTGATTCCCATTCGATCGCTCGCTATTGATGTAAACACTCGTCCGTCTATTTGTGTAGTATATTTGCACGTGTAGTTTGCTGCACTGATCTCCGATAGGATGAATGTTACCGTGTTGTTATTCTCTGGAGCTGGTTGTGATATGATAAACGCATCATCTCTGTAGAGAGAGAAATTGCTGCCAGGATAATTCCCAGAACATGAGATCTCAGCGCTTTCCCCTCTCACAAACACCCGGGAATCTGGCTTCAGCGAAATTTTGGCTTTCTGGAGCGGATCTGGAATAAAAACACAGTAAAGATCATCTCACAAACATTCGCTCTGTGAATAGAAACGTTTCAGGTTATAGCATAAAGGACCATTTGCTTCTTCCCATCCTGGTGAAGGTGTCTGGACGAAGTGAAGGTTTTGAGGGGCAGTTTCAGGGCAAACTCCAGCAGTCGTTTCTTTAGACAGAGGAAGGGTGCACAGCGGCTGACAGCGGAGTGGCCACGGAGGGCAGTGAGGCCGGGCAACTAACTAACAGCTTCAGCATGAGACGGCCGAACGGTAATTTAATCTGAACAGCACGTGTGATTTTCAGCAGTGTTTTAAACAACAGCGTAGGGTGTCAACCAACGGATCAAACTTAATTCTGGAGCATCGACTTCACACAGAGGGAAATGGGATTGTGGAACTCGCTAACTGAAGCTATGATTCGATCAGATAGTCCAGATACATTCCAGACCTAATCACACCTTCATTTGAGTGAGAGGGACATATAGGATTTTGAGGCAGTGGGAGTGTGTGAGGCAATGAGCGACAGAGGAATAGGACGTTTTGGAGGGTGTTAGGAATTTGGAAGCAGAAATAGACGGTGTGGGATTAATAGAGTTTGTGAAAGGCAATGGGGTTGCGGTAGGTTATCAAGGTTTGTGAGGGAGGGTGGAAAATTGGTTGAGGGAGGCAGTGAATGTGAGGAAGGATGCGTGCTGTTGGAAGTGAGGGATTCAGTTTGATGGAGGAAGGGAGCAATGCAGATAATCTGGTGTAAAAAAGCTAGTAAAATAAGATATTTATTTGGGGAGGAGAATTTTCCAGGGCTGCAGCGAGAGAGTTTGGGAGTGGGATTTAATCGGCTAGCTACTTCAGATTATCTGGCAAAGGAAAGATTGACAAATTTGCCTCCTTCTGTGCTGTATGATTCCATGATTAAATAAAATAAAGTGAGGATGGGGCGAAGGCGTGATATGATCGCAGTGACTGGACACTTGGGGCAATGAATACCACTGATGAGAGAGTTCAAGATCTCGCTCTTCCACTGATGAGAGAGTTCAAGATCTCGCTCTTAACCCACTGATGAGAGAGTTCAAGATCTCGCTCTTACCCCACAAAGAAATTCCCACTCGTTTGCTCTCTGGTGATGTGAGCTCGCGTGCGTCTTTATGTTTAGCATATTTACACGAATAATTCCCTGCACTGATCTCCGATGGGGCGAATGTTGCCGTGTTGTTTTTCTCATGAGTCGACTGTGATGACATCAACTTCCCTTCTCTGTATAAAGAGAAATTACTGCCTGGATAATTTCCAGAACATGAGATCTAAGCGCTTTACCCTCTCACAAACACCCGTGAATCTGGCTTCAGGGAAATGGTGGGTTTCTGGAGCGGTTCATGAATTAAAGTAAATATAATCTCACAAACACACACTTCGTGACATGAAAACAGTTCAGTTCAGACGAACACTGTCTATTTTCTTATTTCTCAGCCTGAAGGATTCATCGTGAAGACTGGGAGAGGCAAGGGTTAAGGGACAGATTAAGGACAGGCCCGAGCATATGCTTCTTTAAACCTAGGGAGGGGACAACGGCTGGCACAGGGGTGGCCATGGAGGGCAGTGAGGCCGTGGCCTGATATTCCACAAAGCTATAGCCAGGGACCTGTGACAGGGAATACAGACAGAAACTCTCAACTGACCTTCAGACGTATTTAAATAACAGGATACGATCACATCCAGGGGACCAAACAGTAAATGTAGGAGCAACGACTTCACACAGTAAAGTGAGATGGTGGGAATCATTGACTGAAGCGGGATTGGAATAAGACAGTATAAACACATTCAAGATGTCGCAAGACTTTCATAGGAGGGAGAGGAGATAAAAGATGTGGGAGGGAGTGAGGCTGTGGGAGAGAGTCAGTGTTTCGGAAAAATAGAGTGTGGGGATGGAAGCAATAGAATGTACGTGCGGATGAGGAATAGAAGTAATGAAAGGTTGGGGAATAGGAAGTGTGAAATGAATTACGGGGGAAAGTGAGGAATTGAAGTAGACTTGTGTCATTGAGCATTTGGTACATGTGTTAGGATGGGTGGGCGGCGGGATGGGGGACAGTGGTAGTTGGAGGGCAGATCTGTGATCAAGGCTAATGTAATGCAAGTGGCAGCGAACGGCCATTTAACAGATTCGTGAGAGAAACGCAAACTGGTTATTATGTAAAATCATACCCAGATCTTACCCCACAAATAGATTCCCACTCGTTCGCTCTCTGGGGATGTGAACTCTCGACCGTCTATATGTGTAGTATATTTACACGTGTAATTTCCTGCACTGAAATCCGACAGGGTGAAATTTGACGTGTGGATGTTTTCCTGAGTTGTCCGTGATATGAGAAACTTGCCGTCTATGTATAAAGAGAATATGCTGCCTGGATAATTCCCAGAACATGAGATCTGAGCGCTTTCCCCTCCCACAAAGAACGGGGAATCTGTCTTCAGGGAAATGATGGCTTTCTGAAGTGGATCTGAAATTAAAACACAGTAAAGGTAATCTCACAAACACTCACTCTGATCTGATCTGTGACAGTGAACATCAGTGTCGACAATAAGCCCAGCCTCACCCTCTGAGACTGTTTCTCTCTGAGGTTTAATACGAGGCAGAAATGTGGGTGGTTCCAACTACGTGTCTTGATTTGACGCTGCAATTCTTCCGTATTGAAACACTTTTTGATGTTTGGGTATGTCTTTCTGTGAGCGAAGAGTCAGTGTTAGCTCGGAGTCAGTGTGAGCTCTGGATCAGTGTGAGCTCGCGATCAGTGTGAGCTCGGGGTCAGTGTGAGCTCGGGGTCAGTGTGAGCTCGGGGACACTGTAAGCTGGAGTTGCTTATAGCCTTGACTGCCTGTTCAGGTAGTGGTAACAAATCTCATGACGATATTCAATAACCGAAGGGATTCTTTTTCTGTTGCCATTGCCAACAATCCCCAAATTAAATTTGATTGGCCCTACACTCCACCCATATCAATGGCACGTTGTTGCAGTTGTGGTCTATACCTGAACAGAATATGCCACCGTCCTGCCCGTGTCCGCAGTCAGGCCGACCAACCACAGGCCCCGATCCTTCTCCAAAGCGAGCGTTACTTGAGACTGATACAGCAAATCCACATCCCAAATAGTTACAAATATATCCTGCCATCTCCATGTTCAGCGTCTCGCCACAAACTGTTCTCCAAGTGTCATAGTAGTACAGCTCAACTCTCCCCACACACCGGCTGTCTCCATTCACCAGTTTGGGTGGGTTACCTCCTGCCAAGTACATACAATACAATATCCACAGCAACAACTTCAAGCGTATGTGCAATTAACACAATCTGTACCCTCACAAACAGCGGACGTTTGACCCTGGGTTAGCAGAGATGGTGAGACACACGTATAGCAGAGGAGGTGGGAACCTGGGATAGTAGATGCTGTGTGACAATGGGTTAGCCGAGGATGTGTCACATTGGGTTAGGAGGGAATCTGTGACACTGGGTGAGCCTGAGAATACATTGGAATATACAGCAGAGAAACATTCGGCCCAACTGGTCTATGACGTTAATCACTCCCTGATTTCACTTTTCTGTTTTTTCTCCCCGCCCTGTGAATACCTCGAGTTTTAATAGCACCTCACTTGTGCTCAATCCCCTGCGCTCTCTCCCTTTGCTGATCCCCCTTTGGCTCAACACACTTGTACTCAACAACCTCGTGCTCTTACACAACTTGCTCTTACCCACCTGTCCTCAACCCCACTGTGCCTACCGTTCCTGTTTACACACTCTCTGCTCACCCTCCTGTGAAAACCGCCCCGTAAACATCCCTTTGATTACCCCGCCCCCCGCCCATGGGTGATAACTTCCCTACTCCACAATATGCGGAATCTCACCTGCTCATTCACAATTTACCCACTATGGCCAGTACACTTACTCATATGCTCAACTCCCACGCCCCACACCCACCCCACCCTGTGCCACTCCTGGTTCTGCCCCCTGTCTTCTGCCCCAGTGTTCACCAATGCGCTCAACCCATGCTCAAATTTACTTTCTCAAACCGCTGTGATCACTACCAATGCATCCCGCTCCCCGGTGCTCTGCATGTACCCCAGTGCTCATACCCTGTGCTCAGCCCCAGTATACTCACCTCCCTCTCTACTCATCGCCTGTACTCACTTTTCTTCCGCTGCTCTCTCCCTCTGTTCACCCTGCAATACTCTCCCCCTCCCCTGTTCTTACACAGCCTGTGCTCTGTCTTCTTGTTTTGAGGCCCCTGTGCACACACCCACCGTTTCTTATCCCACACGTGCTCACTCCACTGCTGTGCACTGCGTTCTTGTTCTGAACCCCTGTTGTACTCACCCCCNGTCTGCTCAACCCCTGGTTCTCACCGCCTTGTGACCCTCGTGTGCTTTCGACTCTGTGCATTTCCATCTTGTGTTGATCCTCCTGCTTTCCACCATATGCTTCCCACCCATATGACCACTCCGTCATTTAACTCTCCTATACTTCCCTCTGCCCTATGATTACCTCACGTGTATTCACCACCCGACTTGTGCTCATTCCACTATGCTCTCCGCCTTTGCTTGCCTTCCCTTTTTCTCTTCCCACTTTTACTTAATCCTCCCCTTGGGCTCTTAACTTCTGCACTCTTACCACCGCCTGTGCTCAACGCCACTATGACTGCATCCCCTATTTAGAAAGACAACGCTCACAATCCCTCTGCGTTACGCCAGACCGGGCGCTGCTCCCCGCTTGTTGCCACCCACCTGTGCTCGCCATTCGTGCTCTTCATCCAGGATTCACCTCCAAGCGCTTCCCCTCTGCTCAACCCATCCTTTTGCTCGCCATTGTGCTGAATCCCCCTTTTCTTATCCACACTGTGCTCCTCTTACCCTGTACAGTTAACTCACTTTGCAGTCTATTGTGTGAAGCGTTTTGGGATATCCTTCCAAGAGCATTATAAAATGCAAGGATTATTATTATTACTCATCCCTCCTGTGCTCACACCCACCCATGTGCATTAACTCTGTGATACGCCCAATGTGCTTAACCCCTGATCTTCCCGATAAGCTCACCAACACATATGCATTCCCCGGTTACCACCCCTTGTTCTCCACAAATTGTTTGAAACAGCTCACTCACTGCCTCAAATTCCCCTGCTCATCGCACTCATGCACACCCAATCGCCCCGGGCTCTCCCTGCATGTCTACTCATCTCTCTGTGCTCTGCCCCACTGTACTCAACTCCCTTTGCACTGCAACACTGTACTCACCCGCCACTCCCGACCCCCTTTGTACTTCCGCTTCCCAGGGCTTAGACCCGGTGCTCACCTTCCTTATGCTCAGCCCCCTGTGCTCAAAACCATATGGGCTCACTCCCCTGCTGTGCACACCCTCCTTGTGCTTATTCCACTGTACTCGCCCAACCTATACTCAACTCCGCTTCATGCTCCACACTCCGTGTGCTCAGTACATCCACTGTCTGCCCTACTGTGCTCACCCTCAATGCGTTCAGATGCTGAGATCATCATCCCTTGAGCTCACCTTCTCCTCAGCCCTGCTTTGCTCACCATGCTACACGTGCACACCACTGGGCTCGCACCCTGTGCCCCCGTGTGCTCTCCAGCGAGCATACCGCATGTACTCCCCACCCTGTGCTAAGCAATCCTGTTCTCCAAACCCTCTGCTCATTCCCCCACTGCGCTCAACGAACCATGCTTATTCCACATTTATAGCCCTCTCCTCACCACACAATTTTCTCGGCCCTTTGTGCTAACCCCAAACCCAGTGTGCCTATTCCCCTTGTGCTCAATGTTCCCTGAGCGCAAATCACTGTGCTATCGCTCCAAGTATTCAACCCTGTAGTTAACCGCTGTCCTACACCACCATTTGCTGACACTCTGCGATCATTGGCGTTGCTCACAACCTGGGATGCCCTGCCCTGTGTTCACCCACTGCGCTCACCCACGCTGTGCTTACGCACCATGTACTCCTTTCCAGTTTACGCACTCGCTTGTGCTCAACCACAGGTCTCAGCGCCCTTTGGCGACCTCCTAACCATCCCCTCGCTCACACTTGCCCTCACCCCAAGCACGAGGTTATTCTAAAAGATAGACTTATTTAACTGAGCAAATGACGCCGACATCGTATGTTTTGGATTTGGAAAATTGATCACAGTGCTATGAGCGCAAACACTCCACTCAGGTTTAATAATAAACTAACATATTATGGGATACAAGCTTTAACAATGTTTTTCGATCCGCAGTTTTCCGAAAACATGAGGAAAGAAAAATGATCGAAGACTGAAATATTTACCTGAACAGATGACGCCGGCATCATAGGAGTGTGGCCAGGAATAGCCACCACCCCAGGGCTGTGACAGACAATCCCTCAGAGTAGACTCACTCCCTCTGCACCGGACATTCCACGTCACAACGGGACCTGAGCCTTCACCAAAGTGAGCGTCTCCTGATGCTGAGAGCGCGGCTCCACAGCCCAACTCCTTACACACCACAGACGCGTCCAACATATCCCAACCATCGTCACCAGAGCCAAAGCCATTCACTGTGCCCCACTGTCCATTGCGAAAAACCTCCACTCTCCCGGCACAGGGGCTACCGCCATTCACCAACCTCAAACGATCTGCCAAAATGAAATAAAATCTGCCACACAATCACTGTAAGACATCACGCAGAATATTGAACGTAATCGAAGGTAATACTTCACAAGGTGCATGTCGCATTGCGAGGATTTCTGGACGGTAAACAATACAACAACAATAATAATCATTATAATGGTTCCAATGACCGTTGGCTACATACAGTCCAAAACCCGGGTATCAACAATAATATTAACAATTCATTCTGCGGCTACATATACCCGTTGCAGCTGCCTTTGGAACAGAAGGATAGAGCTTTTATATTATTATACTGAATATTATATTATTATACTTTATACAAGATTATTATAATTTATATAAAGATAGGAGATTCCCCCAAAATATGGCAGTTGTTTATTGCTTTGTTACAGAACACATTAATGCGCATGTGTTACTGAAAGAATAGTGTGTAATTTTCTCTGTCGTCAATTCATTGCGGAATATTATCCAAACATCACATTTTGGTGCTTCATTAAAGTTATTTTAAGTGTATCTCATCAAGGATAGGCATTGCTCTGGAGTACGTCCACGACTCTAAAACAATAAGAGCTTCCCGAAGAGGTAAAATCGTTCTACATCAATTGTGTATTGCGCTCTGGCAGATACAAAGATGCAGATATTGTTGTTTTATTATTGCATTAGCAGCTCGCTTTTTGTTGTTTGAATATATGTTTGTGTGTGTATGGGGGTGTGGGGGAGTCGCGGACGCATACAATGCACCATCACACACAACACGAACGAACCCAGGCACAGACACTAGCACAACCCCAACTCCGGCCAAAGCACCTCGCCCCGAGGACACAGCCCTCACCCACAGCGCCAGAGCACAGCCACTCCCCAAGGCACAGACACCACCGACAGTGCACAGTCGCAACAATACAAAACAGAAGACATCCCCTATGGCACAGCAACCGTCCACGGGGAATAATCAAACCCCCAGGTTACACAGACCCTACACAAGGAAGCCCCACCCCAGGTAAAGGCAGATCCAGACAAAGACCGCTCTCCCTGGTACAAACCCCTCACAGGTAACAGCAACTACTCCCACCTCCGATAGCTGCCTCTCAGGCTCATCGGTGCGCTGCTTCGGCACAGTGCTCTCTTGCCCTGCCCTACCAACGAGGGCACAGCTTCCCCACAAGGTACAGCGATCTTGAACCCCTGCAGAAACCCCACACCTGCCCCCCGGTAGAGCCCTCACTGCCAAAACAAACCCAGGGTCCACCGACCACTTCCCACTGTACAGGCCCCACCACAGGCTCATCTCTTGACCCACGTCACAAGCCCCACAATTTCACATCCCCACAGGATCAGCCACCCACCCACGGTACAGAGACGCCTCAGAGGACAGTCCCTCCACAGAGCACCCAACCTGACACAGCGCGATGGATGGACAGCCGAACTCCAAACGTACAGCACCCTACCAGTCACAGTCCATTCCCAGAGCACAGTCCCCAACTGTCACAACCCCATTCCGTCACAGGCATCTCCCGGAAACAGCTGCTGCCCCAGAGCACAGCTGCCATCCAAGGTACAGCCTCCCCAACGTGCACAGCCTCCTCCAGAGCAAAAGCCCTCCACGCCGTTTTGCTCAAACCCCTTGTATCCTTACTCATCCTGTGTACAACTACCTCTTGCTCACCCAACCTGTTGACACACCCATCGGTTTACACCTTTGTGTTCCCACCCATACTCACCCCATACTCCCCGCGTATGCACAAACCCCAGGTGCTCCCCGTCTATTCGTACCACCCCCGCGCTCCCCATGTTCTTTACCCAAAATTTTGCTCGTGATCCACTGTGCTCTTCACTCCGGTTGTCATCCTCTACTTGTGTTGTGTTTTATTTTTGTTGTGTGTTGCGTTGGGGGGCGATCCGACCTCCCAACCGGACTCTCGCTTCGCCGCGAGTCGCTTCGGTCTCGCGCACCGACCGAACCCGACTCCCGTCCCCGCGCTCACGCGACGAACGCACGAGACGTCACGGAACAGGGCGGTCTGTGCCGCCCTCTGACGCGCCGGCGGGGAATTAGCTCAGATGGTAGAGCGCTCGCTTAGCGTGCGGGAGGCGGCGGCGGGGTCGATGCCCGCATTCTCCAGCGGGTCCCCCCCCCCTCCTTTCACGCATAATCGTTGCGTTCAATTGTTTAAGGTGTTTCTCCTGTATAAATGATGACTTTTACCGACCAGGAACATTTCTGTTAGGAACGCCTAATAATAATCCCTTCAAAAACCAAAAACAATAATTAATTGGTCATTTTCAATCCACGACTGTTTGTGGGACATTGCTGTGCGCAATTGGCTGCCGCGTTCGCCCACAAATATACAGTCAATTCACTTTACAGTGTGTTCTGTGAAGCGCTTTGGGACGTCCTCCCGACGTGAAAAGCGCTATATCAAATGCAAGGATTATTATTATTATTATTATTATTGTGCTCACCGTCTATTATTACGCCCTGTGCTAACCATGAGCGCTCCCTCCCTCTGTTCCTCCCATTCTGATACCTCCATGTGCTCCCCGATGTGCTCAGACCCCTGAGCTCAAAACCTCGGTGCTCAACACCTCTGGCCAAATTCTCCCAATATGCTATCCCCAGAAACGCGTCCATTTTACACCCCGTGTTTAACCAAACCAGAGTGATCAACACCTTCCCTGTGCTCATCCACTCCTCTGCTCAGCTCACGAGACTCACATCTTCGTCCTAAACCCGCTTGTTTTCCTCACGTGCTAAACCCAAATCATTCTCATCCCGTGTCCTTAAACCCCCTTTGCTCGACACACCTGTTCTCAACGCATGTGTTACCCTTCATGTGCTCTGCCCTTTGTGCTCACTGATACTCAACTCAACCCTCCGTACTCACCCCATTGTGCTCATCCCCGAAAGTGCTCACACCATTTGCTCACCCCTTGTGCTCCACCCCTGTGATGTCCAATGTGCTTACCGACCCTGTGTTTAACCAAATCCTGTACTCAAATCCCCGGTGTTTACCTCTACCGTGCTCATTACAAGCCCCGTGGTCACCACCAGGCCCATCGCGCATCCACCGTATGCTAATCCCTCCTCTATGCTCACTCCTACTGTACTCAGCCCATTGTTTTCTAACCCCATGTTGCACCCCTTTGTGCTATCCACGTCCCAACTGTTCTCACCTAACTCCGAGCGCTCAATGCTCCCTGTGCAGAACCCAAATTTGCTCAACTCCTATGCTAAACCTCCACGTACTTAGTCCCTCTGCTCAACCACCTTGGACCCTCCCCCCCATACTCTGCCCCTTGTGGCAGTCCCTGTGCTCAGCCGCCTGTTCTCAACACTGCCCCCAACCCGTGCTCACCCCACCAAACGACCCACTCGGAAAACGACCTGATGATGATCGACAGATTTGTTTAACTAAGCAGATGACGCAGACAACATATGTGTGCGACCCGCATTTATGTCCCTAGGGCAATGAGCGTGAATCCACTCCTTCCCACCAACCCCTCCACACCAGATTTAATAATAATACACTGACATATTGCGGGTTACAAACTTTTACCAGAATCTCCCTAATTCTAATTCCTATTGAGACATTGAAAAATCATCAGACAATGAATTAATTACCTGAGCAGATGACGCCAGCATCAGAGGAGTGTGACGAATAATAGTGACGCCAGTTCTCTGAGGAACAATATCTTAGTGCATACTCACTCCCTTTGCACCGAACATTATACGTTATTATGTGACCAGAGCCCATCCCAAAGTGAGCGTCTCCTGAGGCTGACAGCGCGGCTCCACAGCCCAACTCCTTACACACCACAGCCGCGTCCAGCATATCCCAACCAGAGTCACCAGAGCCATAGCCATCCACTGTGCCCCACTGTCCATCGTGATGAACCTCCACTGTCCCGGCACATCGGCTGCCGCCATTCACCAGCCTCACACTCACTATAAAACACCATACGCAACATTGAGAGTCCGTTTCGTTTTGACTTCCAGTCACTCAGGATAATATAATATAATGTACATGTACAGAAAAGGTGTCACATTGGGAGGATGTTTGGCGTTAAAAAAATACAACAACAATAATAATCATTATATTGGTTGCAGTGTTTGCTGGCTGTACACGACCCAGGTGTCACCATAAGAGTAACAGGTTATTGCAGTACCAGCTGTACATGTTGCAGCTCCGTTTGCAGATAAAGGATAGTGATATTATACTTTATCTTATTATGCTCTACATTATTATACTGATATTGGATTATTTTACATCATATTGGACTGTTATACTTTATATTAAACTATTCTAGTCGATATTACAATACTATACTCTATGATAGATTATTAAACTTTATATTTAGATTTACGGTCAGGACACAATTTTACACAAGTTTCCTCTATCCACATGCTTCTGTTTATCTAGCAGTCAGTGGGAACCCAGCAGTCAATTGGCGTTTCTTTTCTGGGGATAAGAATCCCTTAAAAAAAATGTAATTTGGTCATTCAATCCATGAACTTTGTGAGACACCACTGTGTGCGATTGGCTGCCGTATATCTCCAGCAAAGCTAGCAGCTGTTTCATATTGCAGTATATTCTGTGAAGCATTTTGGGACCCGATAAGGCTCTAAAACAAATCCATGGATTTTTATTATTATTATCATAGTTTATATTAGATTACTACAATTCGTATTTCATTATTAAACGTTGTATTATATATTTATTCTTCTACTTTATATACGATAGGAGATTCCACACAAACTATGGCCATGGTTGACTGCTTTGTTACATAATATATGAGTGCAGATCCCTCAGAGCAGACTCGCTCCCTCTGTACTGAACACCATACTTCAGAATAAAGCTTGGTCGATTTGGAAGGTCTTCAAAAGCTAACTGAACATGCAGAAGGAATGGGCAAGGCACAGGGATTGAGGAACAGTGATAATATTCCCAAAGCAACATTTGATTGTTAGATTTTGTGTCACTAACCTGCAGATTCCACAGACTTTCTCTCCAGAAGTATTACTGTACAAGGGAAAAAAAGACCAAAGCAGGAATTATTGGTAAAATAATTCACCCAAAAATCTGCCGTCACATAACCGTTCCTTGGCTACAGGCAGCCACTCAAGTTCGCCGTCAAAAAGATCATGAGTGGGGGAGCGAACACCAGCGCAAATACAATCGGGAAAAAAGGAACAGAGATTGGGATTATTGTAGAGCGCTCCAGTTGGGGAGCGAACACCATCACAGACACCATGGAGAGAGCGCACAATAGGACTGTACAAAGATAACTTTCACAGACTGACAAGCATACGATTGGGCTGAACGGCATTTTCTGCGAAAGAAAAAAACACAAATTACTGCAGATGCTGGATATCAGACAACAACAACAAAAGTCGTTGGGCACATTCAGCAGTTGAGGCAGCAGATCATACGAAGGTTAGAGGAAACGAAACGTTGACTGTCTTTATTTTCTCCTTAGACGTTGCCTTACATGCAGAGAGTTCCAAGCGACTTCTGATTTTTGTTTTCTGAGCAAGGGCCGTTTGTGTTTCTGTTTCGCTTTGGAGGCTTGGGAAAGAAGCGATTTGCTGACCACTCACAAACTGAGAAATTTATGTATAACAGACAGAGCAGATTGTGTCTCTCTTTCTGTATCAAGTGTGCTTACTGGCTGTTGTTTTTCCTGGTAGCTTCTGTTCCGTTAACCAACAATAACAACTTGCATTTTGGCATCTTGCATTTATAAAGCAATACGTTAATGAGGGAAAGCATAGAAATGACTTTCTCGCCTCACTTTCCACTTTCTTCTTTCTTAGCTTTTGCACTAGACCCTCCGGCCTCTCCAAAACAAACAAAAAATTAAGGAGCCTGTAGGACAAAGACAACTAAGGTGATCGGACGCACGTTCAAAGGGAAGAGTGTTCAGATTTATCTTGAAGGAAGCAAGGAAATGTTGAGGGAGTGGGACTGCAGAATGTATTCCCATTGGATGGTTAGAGAGTGGCTAAATGCTCGCCCGTCAATGTGGGGCTGTGAGGTGGGAGACGTGAATCAGGCTGGAGTCCGCTGAGCTGAGAGAGCGGGTAGATTGATAAGGCGTAGGAGGTCGCAGATGTAGGGTTGTGTGAGGACATGGAGGGCTTTCAATGTGAGTAACAGGATCGTGAACTGTATCCAAGGATGGGGATGATACGGTCACAGAGACTGGTGGAGGAGATGACACCAGCTGCAGGTTTCTGGATGATCTGCAGTCGATAGAGGGTACAGATTTTCTTTCTAACTGTCTGGCTTGCACGACTCTCCGAATGGGATGTAATCATAAATACTAATTCTTGCATTTGATATAGAGCTTTGATGTCTTCAAGACATGTCTAACGTGAATTCACCTTATATTTGTGGGCGAAGTGCGGTTGGCAATTGCACATAGCAGTGTCCTACAAACTGTCGGTGATTGAAAATGAGCAATACAGCATTGTTTTGTTTAGGAGCGGTTATTATCAGGAGTATAGAGGAGAAATTGCCCAAGGGTTCGCCCTGCCTGGAAAAGGAAAAAAGTGTCTCGCTTGCAAGGCGATTGCTCTAACCACAGAGCTACAGAACCCCACTTTACGGTACATTCCCACAAATATTCGTGGATTGAAACGGTACTCACCGAAAATAAGAAACAATGATTCCATTTCGAGAGTGAGGAGGAGCTCGAGTCAAATACAGAACCTGGAGGATTGTGTTTGTGTCCGACGGGGAAGGATCTCTACAGACTTAAATCACACGGAGTAATTCTCAGGAGAAGCTTTTGACAGTGTCACCCTGCTCTGTGATCACCAAGCATCCACTTCTCTGTAACACTTGCATCGAAAGCTGTTGTGACACACACACTGAGGAACAGTCTGACACACACACACATACACACACCGAAACAGACACACTGAGCTGCGATAGACACACACACACAAACACACACTCAGAGAGGAACACGAACTGTGACTTACAGATGTATATTTAACGACGTTTAGAGACGGAATCAGAGACTCAGAAACTCTCTCTCCCTTAATCTCTCTCTCTCTCTCCGCAGAACGAACAGGATATGTGATGTCCTTTACTGGAATCGTTACAACACTCGCACACAAACCGCAAGCGTGAAGCTGATTCTCAGAAACTGCAGAACGTTATTTAAGTGCGGTGAGCAATGCTCCGATTGGGAGCTGTGAGTTGAGCTGGACACCCAGCGCTGAGTATTTTGTGGAATGAAGAAGTAGGTTCTTCCTGGTGTCACATTGGCCACTTCTCCATTTCTGTGTGCAAAATTCTGCGTGTTTGTGTTCGTCTACAAATACACATCACAACATATTTCATTAATTCCCGTGAAAAACTTGGACGGATTCCACGCAGCAATGAATCCTGGAGTCAAATGTAACAGTACATAGACAGGAGAAATCACACATTTACGTTCTCAGTTTAGCCTCTTTGACGGATTACCTACTTCCTCATTTCAGTTGCTCACATTTTATCTTTTCTTGCGACATCCTTCTTTCCTTCCCCGCAGTATTTCAAGGCATTGATTGCTGATTAATGCCCTGCATAGATCAGCGTAGATTTATTGGGTTATTACCAGAGATGAAGGGGATGAGTTTCCAGTGTAGGCTGACCAATTTGGGCCTTTATTCTCTAGATTATAGATGAATTAGCGGGGATCGTATAGAGTCCAATAAGATCATCAAAGGGCATGATAGAGTAGATAGTGGGAGATTGTTTCCCCTGATTGGAGAAACTAAAACCTTGGATCACATCCTTAAAATCAGAGGCCAGCCCTTTCGCACTGAGTTGAGGAAGAACTACTTCACTCAAATGATGGTGAATGTATGGAACTCACTACCCCAAAGGGCTGTTGACGCTCAGTCCCCGAACATATTCAAGACTGAGATAGATAGATTTCTTACTGCAAAAGAGATTAAGTGATATGGGGATAAGGCGGGGTCAGGTTATTAGCTGGAGTTAGATTAGAAGATCAGCCATGATTGAATGGCGGGGCAGGCTCGAAGGCCCTAATGGCCTAGTCCTCCTCCTACATGTTATGGTATGTCTCCATCCGTCTGTTACTATCACAATATCTGTCACACACACATTGTTTCTCTCAGATTCCCAGTCTCTCTCCATCTGTGAATCTCAAAGCTTCGTTAACACACAAACTGTGACTCTCACAAACTCTCTGTCACTCACTCTCACAAACCCAAGCCGACTCTCCCTCTACATCTCTCAAACACTCACTCATACTCCCCATATTGTTCCCTCACAATACCAGTCTGTCTTAAAAACTTTCTCTCTCTCTCTCTCTCTCTCTCTCTCTCTATACATATACAGACCTGATCAATTTAAGGTGTATTCAAGGGTCAACATTGGATATTTTGTAAATGGCAAAGGATGATGTGTAGCTGAACCACTGTCATGGTGTTCGCTTTGCAACTTTACCGGATATGAAGCACAAACCGCACAGCACCGCCAGGCAAAATGATATCAAACATTTCACTGAAAAAGGAAAAAACAGCTAAACGGAACAACATAATTTCTTTAGCGGTGTTTTGTATCTGTATTTCTCTGGAGAGTAAACTTGTCTGAAATCTCAAATCTGCCCTCCTGACTGGTCTCACAGCTCCACGATAAACAATATTCGCTGAATGGAGATTTCCCAGGCCTGCTGTATTGACGGCATTTCAGACCATTTGAATCAGTTAAGGAAGCCAGTCTTCACTCTGCAACACCCCGCTTAACCGCTTACGGAGCCATCATTTCTATCTTTCAAGCTGCAAGTTTAATACAATATAATAGAAATTACATTCGCGTAGTTCCTTTCACTTTGAGAGTCCAGTTTTTGTGCAAATTAATGTAATTCGTGTGGAATCGTATGGTCACATTGCTCATACTCTGTCTCTCTCTCACACACTGTGTATCTCATACACTCTGTCACACTCTGAAACACTGTGCAGCACACATTCTCAGTTCTCCTATGTCCACACACTCAATCTCCCTCCATCTGTTTCGTTCAAATTCACTGACACACACACGCTGTACCTCTAAAAATTTCTTTCTCTCCCGCCCAATCTCGCTCACTCTATGAAGCTCTCACACTATCTCTCTTTCTCGCTATGTGTCTTTCACACTGTCTGTCTGTCTTTCAAATTGTGCGTCTCAGAATCTTATTCTCTCTGACTTTATCTCCCTCTCTCTCGCTCTCTCTCCGACTGTCTATTTTAGGCTCTAAGATGAGACGATAAATTGAGGTTCAGTTTGTGCTGTCTCGAAGACAAATATTAAAGATACCGGAAAGCCAATGGGAAATGAGAAGGGACTTTCTCCAGATGATAGATTCCAGACCAGTTCAATTCAATCAGTATGAAAGGCATAATATTGGACATAGTGTCAAATGGCAAAGGCTGATGTGTAGCTGAAACACTTTCATGGTATTGGCTAAGCATCGTTACCGGACATAAAGCACAAACCACAAAACACCTCCTAGCTGTCATGGTGTTAGCTTTGCAACTTTACCGGATATGAAGCACAAACCGCACAGCACCTCACAGCGAAAAGATCTCAAACATTTAACTGAAAAAGGAAAAAACAACTAAACGGAACAACACAATTTCTTTAGCGGTGTTTTGTATCTTTATTTCTCTGGACAGTAAACTAGTCTGAAGTCTCAAATCTACCCTCCTGGCTAGTCCTCACAGCTCTATAATGCACAATATATGCTTAATTGAGAGTTCTCAGCCTGCTGTCTTGTCAGCTTTTGAGATATTACAATCAGATCAGGAAGCCAGTCTCCACTCTGCAACACCTCGTTTGACCACTTACACTGCCAATAGTTCTGTCTTTCAAGCTGCAAGTTTAATACAATATAATTCAACTGACATTTCCATAGCGACCTTCACTTCAGAAGTGCTGCTGTTTGTGAAAATTAATGTAATTCTTGTGATGTCTGATGGTAACATTGCTCACAATCTCAGTAGCACTCACAAACATTATTTCTCTCACACACTCTCTCACACAATCTCACACTGTGTAGATCACACTCTAAGTCTCAGTCTCTCTATCTCCATCCGTGTCTCTGAAACTCCGAGTCTCCCTTCAATGTTACTTCCTCAGTACACTCTCAGCCTCATTCTCTCTATCTCCATCTGTGTCTCTGAAACTCTGAGTCTCCCTCCATCTGTTGCTCTCTAAACATCTATCACACACACATTGTGTCTCTCACACTCCCAGTCTCTATCTGTCTGCGTCTCTCATCAGTCTCCGAAACACACACAATGTGACTCACACTCTGTCTCTCTCTCAATCTCAATATCTCTCTACATCTCTCATACTCTCACTCACTCTCCCTATATTTTCCCTCACACTATCTGTCCGTCTTATAAAATGTGTCTATCTGAACCTTTATCTCTCTCTATCCCCTCAGACTCTCTTTCTCTGTCCCCAAACTTAGTCTCCAAGCTGAGAGGGTAAATTGAGGTTCTATATGTGCAGTGTTGAAGACAAATGTTAAAGATCCCGAGACACTATTTGGAAAAGAATAATAAATCTCTCCTTATGTTAAATTCCAGCTCAAATTAAGCCGTATGAAAATGAGACATGGTGTCAATTGTCAAAAGCTGATGTGTAGCTGAACCACTGCCATGGTGTTAGCATAGCAACTTTACCGGATATTAAGCACGAACCACAGGATATCTCCCAGCAAAGATGGCTCAAACATTTAACTGAAAAATGATAAAACAAATAAACGGAACAGCAGCATTTTTTCGCTGTGTTTTGTATCTGTATTTTTCTGGACAGTAAACTCGTCTGATATCTCAAATGTGCCCCATAGCTCGTCCCCACAGCTCCATAATACACAATATTCGCTTAATTGAGAGTCCTCAGCCCTGCTGTATTGACGGCATTTGAGACCATTACTATCAGATAAGGAATCCAGTCTCCACTATGTAACACCTCCGTTGACCGCTTAGGAAGCCTATATTTCTGTCTTTCAAGCTGCAAGTTTAATACAATATATTACAAATTACATTCGCGTGGCTCCTTTCACTTCGGGAGTTCAGCTTTTTGTGCAAATTAATGTAATTCATGTGAAATCTTATGGTCACGTTGCTCACATTCTGTCTCTCTCACACACAATTGTGTATTTCACGCACTCTCTCACACTCTGAAACACTGTGCAGCTCACATTGTCAGTCCCTCTATGTCCACACTCTCAATCTCCCTCCATCTGTTTCGTTCAAATTTACTGACACACACATCTCTCACATTTCCTCTCACAATTTCTTTCTCTACCTCCCAATCTCACTCACTCTCTGTATCTCTCACACTATCTCTCTCTCTCTCTATGTGTCTTTCACAATACCAGTCTGTCTTTCAAATTGTGTGTCTCAGAATCTTAGTCTCTCTCTCTCTCTCTCCGACTGTCTATTTTAGACTCTTAGATTAGTAGATAAATTGAGGTTCAGTTTGTGCTGTATCGAAGACAAATAGTAAAGGTATGGAGACGCCATTGGGAAAGAGAAGTGTATTTCTCCAGATGTTAGGTTCCAGACGAGCTCAATTTAATGTTTAAGGAAGTGTTAATATTGGACATAGTGTCAAATGACAAAGGCTGATGTGTGGCTGAAACACTTTCATGGTATTGGCTTAGCATCGTTACCGGACATAAAGCACAACCACACAGCAAAAAGTGCTAAAATGTTTAATTGCAAATTGAAAATACAACTAAACAGAGCAGCAGATTTTTTTTACCGGAGTTTTGACTCGAAACTTCTCTGGACAGTAAACTCGCTTGAAATCTCAATAATGCCTTTGAATAATAATAACAATAATAATAGCAATAATATTATATGCATTTCATGTAACGCCTCTTCACGTCTTCGAGACATTTCAGAGACATATTCAATATTTCAGACAAAACGTTATTCAGAATCAAAGTTCATTTGCGCCAGAGAATGAGAAGGTGGCACTTGAAAGGCAACATCTTAATCAGTTGAATAAGCACAACAAATGAGCAACTCTTTCCTTTCTACACCACGAACATTCCCTGAGCAAAACCAGTTTTTTCCACTTCCAACATATTGATCGCCCCAATC